TGGTCACCTCCGGGGCAGGCGGGGATCGAACTCATGCGGAAGTGGCCTTAGCTTCTCAGTGCTGTGCTTTAACCCGCTGCACTACCAGGGAGGGCCGAAAGCTCTTTTCTTGTCTTACTTGCTTTGTATCCTTAGCACTCTGAAAGATGCCTTATGCATAGCAATTGCTTAATTAGTAAATATTTCTGGAATTCCTTCTTCCCTTTCCCACATAGCCTTGCCTTTTTAACTTTCCTTAAGCCTAGACTAAATGTTTACTGTCTGCCCCCCTACTCTTTTTTATTCTACTTTTTTTTTGTCATCCTGAAGAGTCATGGAAAGTGGTAACATTGGCTTCACGTGCTCCTAGGTTTTCTCTATGGCTCAGAAGAAATTCTGGCTTTTGTACTTTCACCTGGGAAGATAAATATCTTTTGTAAGTGCTGCTCTAGGCAGCAGAGAAAATCGTGTGGTAGTAGAGTTGGTAGTACTTTAAATACCAAAATAATACTTTAGCTTTATTTCTGTTTCATATAGAACCAACTGTAGTAGCTTTCCATCTACTTATCACAGATTTTCTGCTATATAAAAGCAAGGGAATTTGAACTTTCAGAACTTTTAAAAGGTTGTATCACTGCCACTCTCCAGTTTTCTGGAACTGACTTGGTGGAATAGATGCAGTCTACAAATTGACATTGTTAACTATGCTTCTAGCACAAGGCTATTTTTCTAACAACCTTTATTCTTTTCTTTTTTAAGATTTATTTATTTATGCATATGAGAACTGGGGTACAGGCCAGCGGTATAGGAGGTGAGAGAATTCACCGAGACAGAGTGGGGAGCAGAACAGGCAGATCCACTGAAACACACTGGTGAGGGGAGCAGCTGGCTGGTCAGGAGAGGTCTGCTGCACCATGTGGGTCACCTCCCTGGCCAGGGATCGAACTCATGCTGCAGTGGACAACTTCATAGTGCTGAGCTTTAACCTGTGGCGCCACCAGGAAGTTCTTGTTCTTTTCTTTTAATTTGATCTTTATTACTTTGTTGAGTAGATAATAAAAAAATGGGGAGACCTGAAACATATCTAAAACAACAAACTTGTAGCACAGATATATCTTCATTCTAAAGCCCTCATAGGAGAGACTTTGGAAACAGTCTTTTTCTTTAGACTCATTGACTTTGAAGAATTTGTCATTCTTACTATAGATATGGTTGCATTAAGTTGAGAAATTTTCTGGATCAATGGTTTTTTGAGTTGTATTTTGAAATTCCAGAGACCTTTAGAAGAGCCAGGTGCTTGGATTCACATCATAAGATAAACTTTATTCCATCTTAGTATTACATGTGAAAAATTAAATTAAATTAATTTAATTGTTGTTAAATTATAATTCTAATCTTATCAGGTACTGGTTTAAGATTGGTTTTACTCTGGGTAACCAGATAGTAACAAAACTTTTAACTGTTTTGTTAGGTTTGCCAAGATGGTGGATAAAAATATTTACATCATTCAAGGAGAGATTAACATTGTGGTTGGGGCCATCAAACGAAATGCCCGATGGAGCACCCATACTCCTCTGGTAAGTGGGGGATAGGTAGATAGCTTGGTCACTGAGTTGTGGTAGAGGATTTGCTTTGTGATTTAAATAGTAATCATTTTACCAGTAATAATGAATTCAGAGTTATTCTTGATATTAAAGAACCTTCTTTTTTGTCCAAGTAGTATCAAATTTTTACGCTACCTTTTTCCCTCTGGGATCCAAAGATGATACAATTTTTCTTTTTTGATAATTGATATTACATTTTAAAAAAATATTTATTTGTGCATACAAATAAATAGGGTGCTGGCCAGATGTGCAGGGTAGTGAGAGGATTCATCAGAGATAGAGTGGGGAGCAGAACAGGCAGATCTACTGAAATACACTGCTTAGGGGAACAGTGGGCACGACAGGAGAGGTCTGCTGTACTATGTAGGTCACCTCCCTCGCAGGGAATTGAACTTTTGCTGCAGTGGCTGCAGATAGCTTCAGTGTGCTGTGACTTAACCCCTTGAGCCACCAGGGAGGCCCCAGATTCTTTTAACTATTTTGGAAACAACTTAAGCAAGCACTTGACACTTCTTTTATATATCTGAAAATGTAAAAAGATTCCTTTTAATTCCTTAGGGCGGTAATTGCTATCAAATTCATTTAAGTTAGTTTAGTTTTTGATACATGGTATATGACTTGGTGATAGTATTGCTTGGGAGTTCAGCAAACTTCCATATATAGAATCAGCCTATCTTGCCAATCAGAGGAGTGAGAAAACTTAGCTGTTATAAAACTGACTTTCTTTGTTGCATATGCATGTAAAGAGATTATTTTTCTGTACAGTTGCATAAAATAGTTTTTAATCACAATTATAAAAACCAGTTAGACATTTCCAACTTGGTGTGTGTATGTGAGTATCTTATGTTCATTTACAAAAATTGGTTGTTTTAAAAGTAAGAGTGGAGTCAGATTTGTCTTTGAAATGAATACATGCAATTACATAAATGAGTATGAAGAAGACAAAATAGAACACTATACATGTTTTAGTCTATTTGGGGTACTATTACAAAATACTGTAGACGAGGTTGCTTATAAACAACAGAAATTTATTTCTCACAGTTCTAGAGGTTGAGAGTCGAGATCAGGATGCCAGAAGATTGAATGAGTGCTCAGTTGTGGGTCTTAGTCTTCTCATTGTATCTTACATGGTGGAAGGGGCAAGGGTGCTCTCTTGGGTCTCTTTTATAAGCGCATTAATTCCATTAATAATGCCTCTGCGTCCTTCAGACCATAGAATTATAAAAGTTCTGCCAGTTTATAGTAGCTGAGTGCTGTGGTCATGATATAGATTAGTATTTACCATTTTGGGCAAGCCCTATGAAATAAGAGACTAAGGAATAGGTTAATTTTCTTTTCCTCAGAAGAAACTTAATGGATTGTCTAGTTAGATTTAGGAAGCACCCTGATCTATTCTTTATTTCCTTTTTCCTCTTTGGCTCAATCAATAATGACTTTTTTTAAAAAAAACCTATGTGTTACAGGATGAAGAACGGGATCCCCTGTTGCATAGTTTTAGTCATCTAAAGGAAGTTTTAAACAATATAACAGGTAAGTCCCCAAATCTAGGTAGAATTATTTGTCTGGTAGGAAAATGATTTATTGCCTTGTAGGTATATAAACTCCTCTGTAAAGTATAGTACAGTAAGTATATTATATTATAGTATATATCTTACTTACTATAGTAAGTATTTTAAGTTTTTATGGCTGAATATTTTGGTTCTGCCATTGTAGCTCAAATGCAGAATAGATATACCTAAATGAATGAGCAATAAATAAAATTTTCTTTAATAAAGGAGACTGCAAGCCAGATTTGACTCATGGGTTATTGTATTGGTTTTATCTTTTTCTTAGAATTCCTAGTAGGGTATCCCATTTTAGTAGGGAATCAGTGTTTATATGATTATAAGCATCTTTTGTTGTTAAATTATAAGCAGTTTTTAAAAACTACTTTCTCTCACCATAATTGCCATGAAGGAGGTGTTTGGTGGTACAAGTGGAGTTTTTAGTTTTTATAGCAAAAACCCTTCTCTAATAGAAAGTCATTATTGCTTTTGGAGCCTTACATCTTTATAATGCAGCTTCTTGACTCTTTATTCATATGTTCCCAGAATATTTTTGTTTTCCTTATAATAACTTTGTATAAAATTTATATGTTTAAAAATTTTAAAGCACTTTCACATTTACTACCTTATTGAACTTTATACAATCCTGTAAGGGAGACACAGCAGATACTCTCTTTTTTTCATGATTGAAGTTGAAGCCAGAAAGATTTTAAGTGATTTAGCAGGTATCACATTTACCCTAAGATGAAGCCAAACCTAGAATTCAATACCCTAATGCCTGATTCAGTGTCCTGTTCTGTACTGCTTCTAATCATACAATTGGAGGAAAATTACACAGAAAATGTCTTATGTATGTATGTGTGTTAGAGAATGAGATGGTCACAACATTGTATCTGAGTTGAGGAGATAAGCCTGAGAGTTGTGTTCCTCTGTTGACAACAAAGTATTTTTGCACTATGTATCCCAGGTATGGTTTTAGCTAGAACATATATAGGACCAGAATTGAAATACTTTTTATGTTTTGAAAACCAAATAAACAAAATAAATTTCTTCCTTTTGTGAGAAATACAGAATAACTAGAGAAAATAATCCTTTTTACTTTTCATCAGTTATTTGACTGCTTGGACTGAAGCTGTTTAAGAAACATTCCCTAAAGTTTTTTTTTTTTTTAAAGACTTATTTATGCATACAAGAACTGGGGTACAGGCTAGAGGTGCAGGGGGCGAGAGGGTTCACCAGAGACAGAGTGGGGAACAGAACAGGTAGATCGATTGAAATACACTGCTGAGGGGAAACAGTGGGCAGGTCAGGAAAGGTTTGCCACGCCATGTGGGTCACTCCCTGGCCAGGAATTTAACTTATGCTACAGTGGCTGCACCACCGGGAGGGCCCAAGTTTTTTTTTTTTAAGGAGCAAATTTTATTCAGTTGAGAAGTGTTAGACATGTTAGTCGAGAAGAATCAAGTGTAGAGGAGGTGGTTGTTAGCAGGCCTACTGCTGCAACTTGGCATGGTTTTATTTTATGAAAAGTTGACTGCTTGCATAGTTGTTTCTTTCTTTTTTTTTTTTACTTTGCAGATAAAGCTCACCTATTTCAGAAAGAAAATGTAATGAATAGAGATTTACAACTCTTTTTGGAAGCAAGAATTTAGAGTACTACCTTTTTAAGTGATATTAAGAGAATTAAACACGTTAATATATTTGGAAATGTTTCACGAATGAACATTTTATACACAGCGAGGTATTGTTGTTTAAGTGGTTTGGGAATACCCTGAAATAGCTGAAATCAGATTAGAGTAGACTTGTAGGTCTGTCGGGTACTCTGTTAACCTTAAGAAGCTGAGATGATGTAGCCCTCCATGGTGGCGCAGTGGGTAAGGACACAGCACTGCAAGTGAACTGCAATTGCTTCAGTGTAAGTTTGATCCCCTCCCTGGAGGTGACCCACTCTGACCCACCTGCTGCTCCCTTCAGCAGTGTACTTCGTCGATCTGCCTGTTCTGCTCCCCACTCTGTCTCTGGTGACTCCTCTCACCACCCCTGCACCTCTGGCTTGACCTCAGTTCTATGTGCATAAATAAATAAATCTTTAAAAAAAAAAAAAGCTGAATGTTAATTCTGTTCTGACAGCCACATTGCCTATTTGCAATCTAGTCTATGTCCCACACTTGCTTTCTATATCCAGACATGTTCCTATACTTCACTTCAGAGACCATTAAGTGGTGAATGGTGTAGTCCAAGACTTGGGGTCCTTAGACCATTTAAGCGCTATCAAAGTTGAGTCCACTGCCTAATTTTCTTATATTCTTGGTTAGCAATACAGTTTATTTGCTGCTTGAAACTAATAAAACCAGAAAGTGCTGAGGTCTAATTCTCTCAATGGTAAAAAGAGCATAACTGGCTACTGGCAAACTTTTTGCTGGAACAAGGAAGAAGTTGCCATTGTTTTCCAGGGTCTAGTAGCTATGGCAAATGTTGAAAAGGTGCCTACCGATGTTCTTGGATTTTAGCATATTACCTGCTTGAGAAAATGACCCAAAATAGAGCATATAGTGGTATTCTGATTTGTTCTGACCTGCACCCATACACCCACACAAAGTTGGTTTCTAGAAGCAGGTTTATGGGTCAGCTGCCTCTGTGGTCCTGGACTCTATAATCCATGACTGATTTCTTACTTCTTTTACTGAACAAACAGATCTTTTTTCTGATTGGCAGTATCAGGAGAACTGTTATCTTGGAAACTTATTAATGGTAGAAGGCTGGGAAAGGATTTTGAACTTGGGGAGAGAAACACTAGGAACTACCCATGCTTTGTGACTGGGGATGGTATACTACTTAGAGTAGAATAGGTATGGAAGGATTCTACTCAGTTTACCTCATGAATCTGACATGAACTTGGTCTTAAGGCTGTTTGTATTTTTCTACACTGCTGACTTGGTCGGTAAGAATATCATTGTTGGGATTGGGGGGTTCATTGGATATTGTCAGTAGACCAAAATTATTTTTTTCTTATAAACGGGATTTAAAAAAAAAAGTTTATTTTTACATCATTTTGTGCCTTTTTCATCTCAGTTGTAATCCTCGTGGGCTCCCATCACTAAATCACCATATACTATCACCATAGGCCAATGCACTTCCCCCTGAACAGGGGATTTTTTTTTTAAATTTTGTAATAGTTTATTTTCCATCTCAGTTGCAATCCCTTTGGGTTTCCCATCACCAAATCACCCATGTGCCATCACCATAGTCCAGTGCATTTCCCTCCCCCCACTGTTTTTGATCCCATTCCCACTCTATCCCCACAAAATATCTCTGGTATATAGCTTAAACAGGGGATCTTTTAAGAACATAAGCTCTACCTACTTCTTTAGGAATATTATCTGAACATTGTAAAGGAAATAAGTTCATTATTTCCAGTAAGTTTGGCTTAGTGTTCATACCAGTTATTTTCACAGATGTGTCTCTGGACTACCTTTGTAGTCAGTATTTGCCCAGACCGCATTATAACTGCATGCTTTATAACATTTAGAGTAACAGAACATTCCAGTAACAAACCTGAAGAGAGGCTTGCTTGAAAGAACAGGGTCCTAAGAGCAAAGCTTGTATATTGTTCCTTTGGATAAAGCCTTCACTCACCACCAGTGAGACTTGACTGCTATCCTTCATTTGATCTTTAAGTTCTCTTAGGAATCCTTTTAAGAGCTTATTCTGAATGTGTTAAAGCAGATGTGTGGTTGCCAGGGGCTGGGAGGGGGCTTGAGGAATGATTGCTAAGGGGTACAGGGTTTCTTTTTGGGATGATCAAATGTTCTGGTGATGATTGTATAATTTTTGCATACACTGAAAACTATTGAATTGTACATTTTAAAAGGGTGAATTTTATGGCATATGAATTATGGCTTCATTTTAAGAAAACAGTAAATATAAGATGGAAAAATGATAGGTGATACCAGTTTTCCCAGGACTCAGAGCTGTGGAGGAAGCCTCTCTAGTCACTGCCCTGCTTTGAACCCATTACCCGGCAAAGGCAGCATAAGGCTCTGTTGAGTCTCCTGGCCCAGTTTGTCCTTTTATGTCTCTCTCATTAACTCAAGGAGGCACATGGCTTTTATATTTAAATTTATTCAAGCTGTAATCTTTGACATTTGAGTTAGCTTTTAGTACAGTTTTGCATTTATAGTAATATATATTATGTATTTTCTCTATCCCCAAAGAATCCGTTTTAATCTTTTCCGGATGCAAATTTCAGGCTGTCTTGTCCCATCTCCCCTCTCTTGCTCTCTTTCCCCTCCCCCCACGGAGTGTGTTTGATCAGGTGTGGCAGGAATATCCACTGTCAAGCTGCGCCCTTTATATTAGTCAATATTATCCTTCTCCCCCCTCCCTGTCTGTCTGCCCCTTTGGGCTTTCCCAGTTGATTTATAATTTTGGAATTCTCATCGGAGTCTGTAATACAGTTTGTTCATTATTTAACCAAAACCTGTTTAATGAGCAGAGAGAGGCAATGTAAATGTTAGGCATGTTGCAGTGATGTACCTTTGTGCTTCTCAAAGCGGGTGGGTAGTTAACTCTGTGCTGCCTGCAGGACTGGGATGTCCTGGCCTTGGGGGCCGAAGGCCCACTGTCTCTCCCTTACCTCTGCCTAAGCCCTGCCATGAGTTTAGACTGCAAAGATGTGTTTCCTTTTATCCTTATATGATCTTGTAGGGCTTTTGGCACATTGGAGTTATCTTTAAGCTCACAGTTACACTCTGTGGTAAGGATAGGGAGATAGGAGAGAAAGTAAAATACCAGGATACTTGATACTGCTCTGAAAAGAGTAGACAGTTTAGAAGAATCCTTGCTGATATGGTATGTGGTCTTTGATCTCTTTGTCTTCAGTCTAGACAAGTCCTTGTAAACCTTAGTACCTTTCATCCAGAAGCGTTTCATAGAAGGAGCTCTAATCAGCGATAAGTGATATTTTACTATGGTTACCAGCCACCA